GGCGCCGCGCCCCCAGCCGTGAACGTGAGCTCCAGAGAGGCTGCAGCCGGGTCAGGAGAAGGAGGGAAGGTCAGCTCAGCTCCGGGGTTGGGCACGTGCCACGGTAGCGCCGCACTTTCAGTTCCTGGGCCGTGGCGAGGAGTCGGTGCGTGGACGTCCAGGACCACGCTCACGTGTGCGGCTCCACACCTGTGCACGCAGCTTCTCTTTAAATGCCCTCCTCCCTGCTCTTAGGGACGGGGAACTGCATTTGATCTCTCGCACTACCTTCACCACTCTTCCGTCTCCCTCTTATCCCGGTGCTGCCGCTCTGAAAACAGCAGGCCTGTTCTCCTCTTGCTCTGCAAACTCAGGCGCTGCCTCATCTGACCGGGGACGTGCTGGAGGTGCAGTCCTTGCGTGGGTGAGACACCCCAGCAAGAAACTGCAGAGCGGCTCTGCTGCCTCCTGGCCCCGTCACTTCAGCGCAGGGCAGGAGACAAACAACCTCCTCCCGTCCCCTCCGAGGACACCAGCACCGAGGCACGAGCGCGTCACTTCATCCTGGAGTAGGGGAGGCTGCAAAACCTCCTCAGGCAGACGGGGATGGTGACCTGGCCCAGGAACAGCCCAGGAACCATTCGCCGGTCCGCAGAGGGCACAGGCTGTGGGACACGTTGCTGTCTCTGTCTCAGCATCTTTGTGAGTGAATTTAAGGTGTATCAAACACGGCAGGCAGGAGTCCTGCACGGGGGGTCTCAGTCACAGAAGAATGTCGGCAGGAGACACTGGACCATATGCATGAAGACAAGTTTCAGTACTGGACTCAAATAAACTCCTTACCCCACTCCTCCTCTGCTGGGTTAGTCTAGTCCTCAAAAAGCTTTTCCTTCACATGAGTGACTTGTGCTCTGAGGGGCTCTTTTTCACTCAGATGAACCATAAACTGCCATCTTCCTAAATTCATCTACAGCAAGAACCTCGTTTAAACCTACACTTGCTCCAGTCCTGCCTTCAGCAAAACCCCAGTAAGACTTAAACCCCCAACGGGAAGCAATGCTTCCCGCCTCCTCGTTTGCCCTTCTCCTTGCACTCCAGACCACCGGTGTAACAATTTTTGAAGACTCCCCGGCCGCGCAAAGTGCATCTGGGACCCACTTTCAGGCCATCTGAACCGAGGTTCCTTTTCTTTTTCCCGATCAGAACTCCCCCGTGCGACCGCCAAGCCCAAAGCGAAGGACGCGCCCGCGGGTTTGTGCATTAAACCTTGCACCGAGCGCGAGAGGAAGGGTCAAGCTCCCTTCCCGAGAGAGCCTGCGCCTTTGTGCAGAGGGCTACCTTCCCGCACAGACCACGCTGCTTATCTCCCTGTCCCTCTCCCCACCTGCCACGCTACCATTTCAGCAGCATCAAACCTCACAGCAACAGCCAGGAGCACCGCTCACCCATCCCCAGGACAGCCACCTTACCCCCAAGCCGATGACCATTCCCGGGCTCCAGCTTTTCTCTTCCAGCAGGATGAAGCTCAAAGTAAATCCAGGGAGGGAGGAACCGTTTGGCTCATCCGTCCATTGAGGAGGCAGAAAGTTTCCCCGGGTGCGTGCGGTGCCCTGCTCCGCGGGATAGACCTGGGGGGGTCAGGGGGAACCCCGGCGGCCTCGGGGCCCAGGCATGCTACTGCTTGGGCAGGAGTGCGAGCGGGCCACCGCGCGTTGAGATGGACACCCCAAGGAGGCATGTGCCCCATACGCTATATATACACCCCAGCCTCGCACGCCGGGTCCGACCCCGGCTGCCTCATTGGCCGCTCTGGTGCTCCCCCCCTCATAAATATTAAAGTCAAGAGAGGGGATGCCATTGGCTGTGCGGGAGGTTGGAGCCCCCGGGAGAGGAGGGAGGTGGAGGTTGGATGTGGTCCTGGAGGGTGGATGGAGGTGGTGGGCTGGGAGGGAGGGAGGGAGGAGGGTGGGGGTGCTTCGGGAGAAGGCGACATCTGTTCTCCATGCATATTTCATAAAGGAGAAATAGAGAGATGGGAGCGAGCGTGGAAAGGGGAGAGGGAGAGACAGACAGGCAGGCAAGTCTCTGCGCCGGGGG